CATATAATATTATATAATTTTTTAAACGAGACTTTTACAATATACGTTTCTCCCATATACCAAAGACATAGTTTCATTTAATACACACTTACACACATATATTTATATACCAATTATATTAGCTGTTAATCGAACTGCTAAAGTGAACGGACGAATAATTAACCTGATTGATTCAATAATAACTATAAATGCTATTAATACTGATGGCGTTCCGGAAGGAGTTAGGTGTGCTATTATTTCGTTAAAGTAATTGATTAATCTATAGAAGATAATTCTAATTCATAGGCTCAAAGATAAAGATAATCTTAAAGATAGGTGTCTTGAAGCTGTGAAAATATAAGGGAATAATCCTATAAAATTGTTGAATAAAATAAATAGAAATATTGAGTAGAATGACGCTCGACCATCTATGCCCATATGTGGACTTCGTGCGTCTCCCTTTCTCGGGCCTCGTGCCTCTCATTGCGAAGATACGCGACTAGCCACGGCTGGTGTAACACTAGACGCCATGTTGGAATTTAGTTCCATTTTACCAACGCGCTATTTCAGAGAGCGCCACAAATGCTCGTACCACTGGGTCCCATAGAATTTATATGGCAGTTTGGTGGCCCTGATATTATACGTCTATGGGTTAGTACCGGATACTTTTTTTATAAGACTTACAACCAATTTTTTCATTTCTAGATAAGTTTTCGATAACTTTATCTAGAAGATATCTCCCAAAATTGGTTCTTCTTATTAGTCATTGGTATCAGAGAAATTTATCTAGAGGATAGCTATCGAGAGATATGAAGAAATCGGCCGTTACCTATGTACCGAAATATGGTCTTCTCTTGACAGCTTGCGATTGCATAAATAACATTTTTTTTGTTCGATATTTCTAACCTTACATATTGCCACGTAGCTTCGCTTCAGCTGTATATAATATGGTTTCTGCGTGAGTTGGAAGGCTCTGGTCTGGCCCACGTATGAAGCATCGCAATCATTACATTGCAACTTATAAACTACGTTTTTTCGTTCAATACCTACAGAATCTTTGATATTTTTGATAAATCGATTCAATTTATTGAGACTTCTATAAGCTAACATATTTCCATCTCCCGTTTTCAACGATTTTGAAATTGTGTGCGATATTTTATTAATAAGAGATACAACAAAATAATTTTTAATGTTTTTTGAAGTTGGTGTGGACTCCAAACTGTCCGATATTCCGTTAATTTTGTTCGCAATCAGATATTTTACCCGGTCAGTGATGACTTTAAAAATTATTAAAACCAAGAAATATATAAGGTCTTACGAGCCGTTTCCAGGATGTTGAGCAGAAACTGTACGTGTATATATATATATACACATGTAATTCAACTTGTAAATTTTTACAAGTGAGTATTTTTTGAATTGAAATCTTGGTTTTAATTTCAACGAGCCTTAAGTCATAATTGTTTAAAAATTATTTCCAACGGATAGTTGTTGGAGATGAGGATGTTGATTATAAATTGTATATTCTTCGCTTGAAACACAGGGTGGGATAACAACAGAGTTCTGTCTACTATTCCGATAATAATTCCTATTTTTTGAGAGACTGGGTGTGAGGAGTGATAATTTAAATACCTGCCCGAAAATGTAAGTTTATGGTAGCAGTCGCACATGATTGTCCCATTATTAGACACAATCAGTTTGACGTATAAAAAGCTCAAAGAATTTCCATCCTGCGTCTCAATTGTGAACTTCAATCTGTCATTATATCCTTTGAAATTATCCAAAAGATAATTTAAATTGTTGGCGAGCGCGGTTAAAATTTTTTAAAATCTTCGAATTATAAAAGAATTGTATCCGAATATCTGGTGTTAGCTTGTTATTGCTATTTCCTTATCTCTTTTTATTTCATTCTTTTATTTAAAAAATATATATACTGACGTCCTCATTCGCCGATTCCGCTGCCGCCGAAAGAAGAAAATTTTCGGCGAATCCGCCGCCGCCATACTAATTTATCTCAAACGTCGCCGCCGATATAAAATAAAACAGCGCACGGGTCTATCTTCCAGTATATGTTCTAACGGCCGATTTCTTCATACCTCTCGATAGCTATCCTCTGGATAAATTCCTCTGAGAACCAATAAGGAGAACCAATTTTGGGAGATATCTTCTAGATAAAGTTATCGAAAACTTATCTAGAAGTGAAAAAATTGGCTTTAAGCATCACTCATGTTTACGGTACTGAGGCCCGAATTCATAGTCGTCTCTCAGATCTCAGATTCAGATCTCATCTCTTTCCCTCTCTTTTTCTCTCTCTCTTTCTCTTTCTCTTGAGATTGGAGATCTGAGATCTGAGAGACGACTATGAATTCGGGCCTGAGTAACGGCGGGGTGGTATCCCCACTTTGACCGCTTTTCCTCCTTTATGCGCGAATAGTGTCTTATTCTCTCATTGAACCGAGTATATAGTCAAAGGTTTCATGAAAGACTTGTGCATACATTTGTATCCACCTTTAGCCACGAATTACGACATGGCCGCCATGGCAGCTGATGCTTGTTCCAACACTTGACGTTTAACCAGAACATGTCATTTTGCAAATTTCATTTTCACAAATGGCAGACTCTTTTTTCGGTTTCGATACCACGCTCGGCGTAAGTACGAACGCTTTCCGTAATTACACATAACGTGCAGGCTGATAACCGATTTACATACAATCTTTTGAAGTAAATACAAGCGTAAATCTTTTTGATAAACAGCAGCGTCGCGGCGTATACCTGTTCCGAAAAAAAGTAAAAGTGTGTGTAGAAAACAGCATTAAGCGTTCTTATGACATGAACGATGCAAACGGCACTCTTCACACATTTCTTTGTGTATCTTTTTATAATCATTTTTTATTAATATTTCACTTTGAAATAAAAAACTGTTATTTAAGTAACTACGGGTTACATTATCTAACCTTATATTTTCTTAGAGGTCATTAACACATTGTGTAGATTTAGTCAATCCTACCAAGTATTTATTTCTTTTCACATACATAATGTTTTACTTTAATATCACTTTGCATAAGTTTGACATTTTGTAGGACAATGATATTTAAAAGTATTTTTTTATTTTAATCAAAGTTGATTCTTTTATAGATTTACAGGTTCCAAATCTGTTTAGTCTTGTCTTGTAGAAAGAGAACAAACTTGTTTTAGTTTTGTCTATATATATATATAAATTTTTTTTCTAAGGGATAAGAAGAAAAGGTAAAGAAAAATAAAAAATTTACCATGCAGAAATAAAAATAAAAAAAAATTTGTTCTCTCTCTACAAGATAAAACTAAACAGATTTGGAACCTGTAAATCCATAAAAGAATCAACTTTGATCAAAATATATATATATCTGTTTTTCTTCTTATTCTCTCAGAAAAAATATATTTACACACACAGAATAATAAAAATGTTACATAACTAATTCAGAATAAAGTGTCATATATATTAATATTATTTATTCTATAATTAGGATAATGGTTTAGAGGATGGACTAGACTGTCCATTAGGAGAAGATGAACTTGAAGAAGAAGAATATGATGCCTTGAATGATGAAACATTTGGTCCTGATGCTGCTATAGGAGATTGGGAGGAAGATCATGAAAAACTTGCTGAAATTACAGAATCAAATCGTCCACATAATCAGAACACACCAAATAAAAAGGTATTGCATTGTATCTATAGATGATGATATATTCTAAGAATGATAAACTAGCAGCTCACGGGCCATCAGAAGCTCCTTCTCCTTACTCGCCTATTTGCTTAATTTGCTGAGTCACTAGTGTATGGCGAGTAGTGGGAGAGTCATGTGGCTCTTGACGGAGAAGTTTGTCACTTCTAATATATTCAATAAAGACTTGCATAGTATAGTTAAAAAGATATTTCTTTCTTTTTTTCTAACATTTTTGTATTTTTTATAGGATATTTCTACTGTAGATATTGAGGATAATTTATCCCATTTAGTATTAGATAAGGAAGGGATAGTACCGCGACCTGGTGTATGGAGCAGTCCTTTGAATTTAATATCTTCAAAAACTCAATCACGATCATCTTTGCCATCCTTAAAAAATGCCTGTACAGTGGAGGAGCTGGAGAAAGGGCTTATTGGGAACAGACCGCCTCCAGGTCTCAGTAAATCACAAACGCAACAACAGCAGAAAAAATCTGATAGTTCAGTTGTTTTTGATAACCTGCCTATAAATGACAAACTTCAAATCAATGGTGTACCACCTCGTTTTCCACCAGGATTGAGCCTACCTGCACCACATCCACTTGTTGTACCCAACATACGATTACCCCATTCTCAATTTTTGCAGTCTAGAGTATTACTTAGTAAGTGTAATATTCATTATCACTTACTATTTCATAATATCTCGTATGCATAATTTTTATAATACAATTATTTTTAATTCTCATAAGATCAACATGGAAATATGTTACGTTATCCTTTGCCGCCGCATATAATGTTGCCACATACAGTACAAAGGCAAGCTCTTCACGGCTCCTATGGCTTTCCAGTACGTTTCTTTCGCAAGTTTACAGATATCTTAAAACAAATATTAATAATAAAAGCCTTGAAGAATCAGACAATTCTTGGATTGAATCTTTTTAAGCATACAATTTTTCGGTAAATGTATATAAGTATAAATAAATTTATATCAGAAAGTGTATGTGCATAGATTAAAATGCTTGAACGTGCTAATACAGCTTGAACTCTATTTTGAAAAATGCGATCTGGTTTTTCAAGTTTTTTGTTAATATATATTTTTAAGATATCAAAACCAATTGTAAACTTGAAAATTATAGATATCGTTATAGAAATAAAATTTACAGTATTAGTTACATTTTACATATTTTTGCATTTCTCGTATTATAGCAGCCACATCCCAACTTAGGAGGTTTACATCCTAACTTGGGTTCACAGTTTATTCGGCCAGATCACATGATGCCGTTTCCCAACAATCAAATCAATCATCAACATCAACATCCTTATCTGCATCCTGGAAACCAGAGAAATCAGAATCAAGATGCACGGTCGTCCATCACGTCAGGTTCACGCGCAACAAAACTTCAGCGTGACGGTAGATACTATCAAAATGAACAACAACCTGGACAACATCAACCGTTTTTCAAGAATAATCAGTTCCCTCATCGCTATCATGATAGAAATAATCAAAGACATTATCAATATCAACATAATTCTCACAGCATTAATGGCAATGCTTCGGGAGATCACGAACCCGCAGGAAAACTTGCTATAAAACCACACGAGAAACAATGGTTAATTAATATTCAACTGCTACAACTTAATACAATTCAACCGTACATCGATGATCATTATTATATTGTATTCTGTGATAAGCGGAATAAGCGAGATACGAATTCGGATAAAAAACACTACAATAATAACGGATATCATAGGGATCATAAGTATGTCTTTTTTATTAATTAAATTTATATATATTTATAGTTATTGTATATACGCATATATTTTATATATATGTTTATTATATTTAATATGTATGTTTATTATTTTTATATATAAATTTAGGTTTTTATTGTTTATATTTTTTTAAATATCTTTATGTATCCTTTTCGATATCTTTGTTTAATTGTGTGACTACTCTCAGATATTTAATATTAACAATTTACGTTCTTTTTATAACTTATTTTCAAGAACACGCTGTTCATAAAATGCTTTTCTATTTTTCTTAGAGATTGGGAGTCAACACCTCAAGCTTCAAGATCTGCGTACACGCCAGCTCAATTTGAAAATTCACTAGGCAAACTTCACTGCAGCAGTGTAACTGCTCCACGTAAACTCATCGATATGGATGTCGTGTCAAGTAATGACTCTCCATCTACTCCTCAGTCGCAACAGAAGGATACTAAAAAGACACGACAGTTACTTCTTGAAATCGAGAGGGTATAAACTCTCATATGTGATTTAGTAAAATTTAATATTTTTTTTATATTTTATATTTTATTTCTTGTTAACAAGATGTTGTTCTTTAGTTGTATACGTTGTTATTCAAACTCGAAGATCTAAACAATCCTCTTGCTCGAATTCCGGAATCGCAACAGCAACTAGAGGGAGAAACTGAAGCGAATGTAATTAAAACTGAACCTGAATTACTTAGCATGATGCTGTCATGTCTGCATCAATTGATACAAGACGACAAATTAGCTAATATGCTGAGTATTCGGAAAGGAAAGGTAAGTGTGTGTGTGTGTGTGTAATGAGAGAGATCCTAATGAAAACCTATAAATAATTCTAAAATATAAATTTTAATAATTATTTGTAATCTTTTATATATATTAATGTGCAATCTATATGTATATTGTAGACGTTATTATTGCGTTTTTTACCTCATCTAAATGTGACGGAATATAGTAAGCAGTTAAGAAAATTGTGGACCGCGATCTTCAAAGGATTGGCTATAATAGGTCGTAGAGATTGTCACTTGTTAACTGACTTTTACTCTGAATTTCGAAGATGGCTTAATACCATAAAAGATTTTGATACAATATTGCGATTAGCAAGAGCATTAACTGACTGTACTATCAAGAACAACAGCTTAACTTTTGCTCTTATGAATAAGGTTAGTTTATAAATTATTACATATATATAATATATGTCATTTACATGTGTGAATAGAGATGACAAAATTACTGTGAAAGCATATATAAAAATATAATAATATCTTTTATCGTTTGTGTACTTTCAGTTTGGTGTATCAGCAATAGCAGCGATGTTAGAACAAGCAGAACAACTATGCGTTGCGAATGAATCTCTACCTACCGAATGGTCAACTTTTGTAAGTACAATTGCCGAAATAGTCGGTGACTCGTCATCCTGTGTCATGCCATGTCACCCAATTGCTGCAAATACGCTCAATAAACATTTGGATCGGATTTCCAATTTGAAGATAGAAAGGTATACAATGCTAGCCCGCTTGCTGACTGATGCCAATCCTTTACGATAGTCTAACGTTTACTCTAGTTATATCCTTATACTTTTTCTTTTTTTAAATTTATCTTTGTTTTTTAATATACGAAAAAAAATAAATTATGCTAAAAAATACATACAGACACAAATATATAATATTTTAATATAATTATTAATGTTATATACTGAGATATCATCCACTGTGTATGATAATATTTCTAAATAGATGCCATGATTTTACAAAGTAGATTAAGTCTAATGCGGGATAATTAAAAGAAAACAAATTTATATAGGTATGTATAAATAAAAATAATTCCGAGAACAAAATATCCCGAAGCACAATGAAGTTTCTTACTCGTACGTACGTATATATACATATGTATATACATGTATACATACGTGTGTGTGTGTGTGCGTGCGTGTGTGTGTGCGCGTGTGTGTGTGCGTGCGTGCGTGTGTGTGTGCGCGCGTGTGTGTGCATGCATATATATATATGTATATATATACTTTTAAAAGTATATATATATACTTTTTATATATACTTTTAAGGTAACATATATATATATATATATATGTTACCTTTTAGTGTATATTTTGTACACATTATTATCTTAAGCTGGTGATTGATAGCTCGAGGGAGCTATACTACTACTACTAATATTAGAAAAAGTATAAACGTGTACGTCAAACGAAATGTTATAGTGGATCTGCATGCTGGTAGCTTTTTAAAATTAGCCTTTTTTTTAATTAACAGCATATCTTAATTCTACTGTGTAAAGTTGGTATCTAAAATTGGTACAGGGTGAAGCAATCAAAATTATCGCAGTGATTTATACTTATGTGACGTTTCGGTTTACTTTTTTTTATGCTTTGTGTAATTAAAATAAATCATGCTAATAACTTAGTTTGGCAACTGTTTTACTCTGTATCAAAATGCACATCCTATCTTCCCGTGTGCTATGGTATTGTATTTTTTAAGCATAAATATATATTATTATTAATGTCTAAATTATACAAAGAGTTATACAGTATATGCATATCAAATTTACTTGTATTTTTATCTACGTTTTTTTTTTTAAAGGCAGTTTTGATTTTTGGTAAAAAGAGAGAAAGAGAGAAAAAAAATTATTAATTTAATATGCTATAAATAATTTGTTTTTATTTTTTTATAAAATAAATTTGTTTCTTCACTAACGCATTAAGATGTATTAATGTTTATAAATCAACGAATTTATAATATATTATGATATTTTCACGGAAGATAGTTCATGAGATGTATATGTTTCAACTTTTGTTTATATAAGAAGCAAACATGTTACGCATCTATTTACGCATTGTTGCAAGTCGATAGACTAGAAGAAAAAACCTTGCTATCAGTGTATAGATATAACTTATATTTTGGAGATAACGACAGATAATCATTTACACCACCATTGTTGAAAAAATTACAGAGAATATGCGATATAATTGCATAAGTTAGTGTATCAGCAACAAAACACTGTAATAATATCTTTTATATAAGACATTTATATTATCATAAATACAAAACTTAAATTTCTATCGGTTTTTTTATCGGAAAAACGTGTGATATCATGATCTGTAATCTAGTTGTAAACGACATTGCAGACCTGTCACAGTTAAAAAAATGTAAATTCTTTTTTTAATACAATAGTTATTGTTATTAGATCGACATATAACATTGTGATCGCGTAATAAAAGACATAGAAAGAAAGAACAAAAATTCTTTATATAATGCAACAATGTGTGTTTACAAATAAGAATTTTGAAGATTATCTAAAGCGCGTATGATGACATGGCCTTTAGAATAACTAAATAAGATAATTACTTTTTATTGCAATTTAACTACGATCGTGTTTATGTACTTCTGGTTTGTACATAAAAATATCAATGCGTGAATGATGTATTTTGTAATCGAATGCAGAAATGTATTTCAGTTTCTGTCAGGTCGCATGATGTAAACAATATCGTAACGCATCTCGCTGACTCCATTTTCAAAGAAAGAGAGAGAGAGAGAGAGAGAGAGAGAAAGAAAGAAAGAAAGAAAGAAAGAAAGAAAGTGTGTCGCAAATAAAAGTCTCTAGATATCAAGTTTCTTTTACTGACGATTGATTCGAAGAATTTTGAGTTACATTTTCTTATAAAAATAGAAATAGGTATATATAAAATTCCTCTTCATAGAGCATCGCATTGCAATTTTAACTTTTATATTGTGAAAAATATATATATATATATATATATATATATATATATATATGTCTGTAATTTAACTTATATTATTTACTCATAAAAATATATGTTGCACTGAGTTTTTTTTAATGTAAATTACGTTGCTGCACAGTTCAGTTGCTAAATATTGAAGCATTTTATTTTTGTTTATTATATTTACGTAAATTAAGTTACATTTGTCGCGTATAAAGACACTTGTTAATTCAATGCGATTAGCTCGTAATGATTGAGAAACAATACGTAATAAACAATGACTTTTCTATTGTATTATTATTAATTGTGTTACAAAGTAAAACTTTGAAAGAATAATGAATAAATCGACTTATCTGAATACTCAATAATGCTTGTGAGTAATTGTTTATTACTGTATATAACTCAAAGAGCTTTTGCTGATTAAACGTTCTTTAATTATTCTATAATAAGTTGGCAAAGAGAAATAAAATCTATGTTTTTACATAAGCAATGGTAAGGATCTAAGGAATATATAATTGATCCTATTATGATTTGTAGAAAACTGATGCATGTCTGATAAGTCCGATAGTTACATTACATTCTTCTTAATACGTAACTGGGCTTATATTTTTCAAGAATAAACTTAGTTATAGGGCTTGTTTACGAATTTAAGTTTCAACCAAGTTTCTTGCAAGATCCCTTGCACTTGAGAATTTTTAAATGATTTTATATTTAATAGAGAAATATGCGTTTTATATAGAATATAATCTTCAATTTTTACATTAGATGCTTGAATTCGATCGGTTCATATACGCTAATATAAACATTAAGGCGATTAATAATAACTATATTAATTTTTTTAAGAAGAGCAAGAAGAATCATATATATATATACATAGTAAGACAATATGATTCTTTTTGCTCGCGCGTTCAAATTAATAGTAACTTCGTTTTTATCATCATCATACAAGTTTGTCGCGATAACTAACGTTTTGATTTTACGGTTTTTTCATTACTTAACATCTAACGTTAGTTATAGTGAAAGTTCGATGATACGTTGCTGTTGCTAATAAAGTAGTAGTTGTATAAAAAAAAAAAAACAAATTTTGTAGCATCACAGCATCAATAATTACATAAATCGAAATTTGCTCGATTTGTGAATGAGCGATAGAAAGAAATTTTATTATCTTTATTATAAGTGTCGTAAATGCTTTCATTAACTATATACATATATATGTATGTATGTGTGTGTGTGTATGTATGTATGTGTGTGTGTGTGTGCGCGCGCGCGTGTGTGTGTGTGTGTGTATGTATGTATGTATGATGTATGTATGTATGTATGTATGTATGTATGTATGTATGTATGTATGTGCGTACGTACATACATAACGTATGTATGTACATATACTATATTTGTTTCGATATACAATACATACATATAAAAGGTGTCATTCTGTAGGCAAACCACGTTTTTCCCACTTTCAGTCTCGTATCATTGTTACATAAGAAATCAATATTTCTACCGAATAAAGAAAAACATTTTGTGATGTCTTCTTGTAAAGTAGATAAAATGTTTAAAGCGAAAATTGTGCGTTTGAGTTTTGATTAAAAATATATTTTTATAGAAACACTATGTTTATTACGTTTGTGTGAACGAAACAAATGTAATGAGAAATGCTATGAAAAAATTGAAATCGTTAAAATGATTCGAAGATTATACATAGTTTATGATATAACATCTATTATGTAATCAGTAATGCGCCTGTACATTTAAAACAAAAAAAAATAAAATAAAAATGATTGTAAATTTATAACAATCTGAGAATACAACTGTAGCTATCGTATATGTACAGAATTGACTTAATTTGGAGTCAAAGTCTTAAATAAATGTTTTGCATCCTACATATATGTGTGTTAATGGCGATGTCTATAGTGAAAATATAAATACATAAATATATTCACAATTTTTATATTATATTTCTGTATTGTATAAAATATTATTATATCTTTGCTACAGCTTCTTTGATTATTTTGATATTTGGAAAATCGCAATATCGCTTTTTTCGATACATTCGATAGACTTTGCGTCAGTCTAGTTAGCGCATAAGTACGCTATAATGCATTGAATCAGTTTTGCGAGAAAAAAAGGACTTTTCCTTTTTATACGTTTTATTTGTAAACAGACACTGTAAACAGACTATGGTCTAGTTTACATCGTACATCTTTTTGGTACGCGAATCAAATAAAATTTGTTTTTCAATGTATAATTTTGGTGTTTTCATAATGATGGATATAATGATAAATGTGCTCAATACGCATATCATTTTGATACGATACGCGTGAAGAAGGCGTATCGTACCAGCTTAATATGACATTGTTTACATTATTGAGACCAAAGCCGATTTAATACGAATATAGTACTTAATACGCGTATTAAGCGATCAGTGTAAACTAGGCCTATAAAGAAGAGTGACGTATAGAAAAACTTTTATCTTCTCTCACAGAACGATTCAGCAATGGTAGAATACATATATACATAGATATCGCTACTTTCCAATGCGTATACATCTGTAGTCGTGAGATCGTTGCATACTCGTAGATTCCTATTATCTAAACCGCCATTCTCGCCGCGTGAATTTGCGTGTCCCGTGTTGTTTTCATTAGTGTTTTTAACCTCAAATATGGCTGATCTAGAACAAGACTCGGGAGACCGGGTTGACAGCGATAATCAAAAGAATGACAAGATGTTTACTCTAAAAAAGTGGAATGCTGTGGCAATGTGGAGTTGGGACGTGGAATGTGACACCTGTGCCATTTGTAGAGTCCAGGTTATGGGTAAGCCTCCATACACATTTTGGTTAAGGTTAGGTTATTCTTTTATCTTGGGAAAAAAAATCTTGCATATATAATCTAGTCTCTCTTAAGGGCCTTTTACAATAAGATATTATTAATAAATCAGAAGTCAGAAGCAAGAAATTGACTAATCACAATCGATTATTCTTCTGTGATTTGACTGTGATTAGTCAATTTCTTGTTTCTGACTTCTGATTTATTACTAATATCTTATTGTAGAAGGTCCTTTATAAATAATTATATTGTACGTACATATACGTAAAGTGTGTGTGTGTGTGTATGTGTGTATACATATATATACATACACACATTGAGACGATCTTATATACACATAATTCTATATAATTACACATAATCAGATATAGAATTTGTCTATATATGATGAACATTTATTCCCAGGATCCTAATTGAGGTCTTTATTTATTCTTTCTTTATGTGTTTCTTTTTTTCTATTTTTTCTATGAAGAATTGTTTTATTATTTATAATGTTGTGTATCATATTATTGCCTTGAGACATTGAGATTGTAAATATATGGCACAATGAATATATATTAATTAAATGTGTTATATTGTACTTATATTGTTTTCTATTACACAATTCAAAAAGATATGTGATTATCATTGGTACAAAACCTGCGTTCTAATGTTCACTGTCTAAAAATCTACTACAGGTAATAAAATCTGTACTGGAAGTCTATAGTACATGTGAATTATAGATCTGGCAATGAATATGGAAATACATACCACCCAAAGTACAAAGAAAACATTAAGATATAGGGTAAAGATGCCTATTATAGGATAGCTTTTTTTAAAGGCTTGTAATTTATTAAATATATGTAATCTTAGCTCTTAGTTTTATGTCACACTTATGGGAAATATATTCAAGTTTTATAGCCAAAAGTTAGCAATCGATAATAGCTATACTTTGTTTTCTGTGAATTTTTTTTATCAGTTTTGCTGATTCAAAGAAAACATTCCTAACACAAGACACAAGGGGTTTCCTATAGGAATCTTAGCAACAACAGAACTATTGTCATTCTTAACATATTGCTCAATAGTATGCTTTGGGACATTGAATTGTTTAGATGCTTTTGAATATTTCATTTTTTTGCTTCTTGCTGCTTAACAGCCTCTAATTGACTGAGACCACGATTGCCTCTTCTTTGCCTCCATCTGAAAATATGATTACTAAAAACTTAAATTACTCAACACTTAAATATGATTAACTAAAAACTACTAATACATCAAATAAAGAACTTTACAGTTCCTAAAATGAAGTACCTCGTATTAAGAGCGGCTGCGTGTCTTATATTAGGGAATATAAAATTGTAGAAAGTTTAAGTTTGTACCGACGAAAATATGCAATAAATTGACAAAACTACATGATAAATCACTTATAGTGCATGTGTACATTTGAATTGAAATGACAGTAAATCCTATGATAAAAGTGTTAAATACATATCTTAAATTTATAATGATTATTTTTTTTCTTTGCGCGTAAGCGATAACTTCTTCGCAGACACCACGTGTGATCACCTTCGGCAGTGAACGACACTAACAAAAACTTTGATGTTTTTGTGTAAGTAACGTATTAAAAATATGCAGTTATGAATTTGTAGCCGTTTACATAAAAAGCTCGCTATCTCGTAGACGACTGTCTCATAATAGACACCTTTACCCTACCTACTCATTGTCATTTATTTACATATAGTATACAGGGTGTCCCAGAATTGCCGTACAATCTCTCGTAGGCAGGTAGAAGGAGTAAAACTGAGTCGAAAAGTCCTGAATCATTTTTTTCTATTATTTATAATAAAAGAGTAATTATTAAGTAAATCAGGCCAATCAGCGCAGACCTTTAGCCAGGCGCACGTCAGTGAGCCGCGCGCCTGGTATGTGTGAGCGCTCACTGACGTGCGCCTAGCTAAAAATCGGCGCTGATTGGCCTGATTTACTCAATAATTACTCCTTTATTATAAATAATAGAAAAAAAATGGTTCAAGACTTTTCGACTCAGTTTTACTCCTTCTATCTGCCTACGAGAGATTGTACGGCAATTCTGGGACACCCTGTATATACAGGGTGTTCCGTAATTGCCGTCTCACCGCTTGTAGGCGGGTAGAAAAGGTTATTCTAAGACGAAAAGTCCTATACCACTTTGGAAGATTCGCAATAATTAATGAGATATGAATTAATAAAGATCCGCTAATCAGCGTGCATCTAGCGTAAGAACAGCTGTCGCGCCGTAGCGACGGAATACAATAGCGCGGATAGCGCGCTGCGAACGCAGCTTATATATTGTCTGTGTATGCACATGTTATTCTATTAACTCCTCCCATTCCGTCGCTATGGCGCGATAGACTGGGCTGTCCTTACGCTGGATGCACGCTGATTAGCGGATCTTTATTAATTAATATTTTGTTAATTATTGCGAATCTTCCAAAGTGGTATAGGACTGTTCGTCTTAGGATAATCCCTTCTACCTCCCTACAAGCGGTGAGACGGCAATTACGGGACACCCTGTATATGTATAACCATATTCTTATCCATTTTAAGTAAATCGTTTTATCACACACATAACTAGAAAAATAACCGAAGATAATTATTATTAAAACTCTCAACTTGTCAAAATTCTGTTAATTACAAAAATGTTTAAAAGATGAATTTTGAGAGATTGCGACAAAATATTTTTTATGTTAAATCTTGGTATCTTTTTTTTTTTTTAATTCATAGCATTATGTGTTATTGCAGTTTTTAGATGTGATATTTTATAGTTATAAGAAAAATTTATTTGTTGTATTAGTTTGACAGCTAACTGTTTCTTACACTACATACATAACTGCAGTTACCGTCATTTTCAAAAAACATTAAAAGGAAGAAGGAAGATGTAAAATATACCAACTTTTTTTTACATAAATGTATATCACTTTATGTATAGTTAAAATTACAACATAATAACTTACAAATTACATATAAACTTAACATGAGTATTAAATTATCAAAAATATTTCATCATCTTTATTGTGCTTTGGCAAATACCTTACAAACAAGCGGCATCATCCATATAGCAACAAATATAAATGGGAAATATAAGAAACAAAGAAATGCATCGCGATTGGTCATTGTATACATGTGTCTGGAGTAGCATTAATGTACGTAATTCTCATTACAAAACAAGGCATTTGCATACTTATTGCTTTATATAATATTGAATTGAGTCGTACATTAAACTGCGCAATAGGAATGATCTTTTTTTCGTGAACAATATTGTTTACAGTTGTATGAATGAGGAACAATATTATAAACAATATCTATCGTAACATTATTTAATGTGCGAACGAAAGAAACTTATTAAGAGAGATAAAACACGTTTTTATACTTCCATATATACAAATGAGATTCACCGCTAACGGAACTTTTTTTGTCTTCGAACGCACAACTATAAGCGTACTCGGATCATCTTATAAAAATGAACGCACGCATTTGTTTTACATTTTCTGACGTTGTGTACGTCAGTTGTCAATTGTGATATGCTAAGATTTTACATTGACGCTGCGGTAACACGCTGTGAGTTTACTCGGTCAAGTTGAAATAAAAAAATTAAGCAAAATACATTGGCAAATGCAGTTTTCCATCAAATTCTTGTACATTTGTTGAATTATATTGTTAAGTTACTCTTTTCTTGTATTATTATTAGTTCTCGAAAGTTTTTTAGTTACGAAATTATCTTGGAGTTACTTTATAACGAATTTACGAATCTCAATTATTCTTAACGCAACTTGTTGCGAATGAATTATGATAAAAATGTCACATACACTTTAAAAAATAACTCACATAATTTCTTATATAAATATTTCAATATTGCACATTAGAGTTTATGCCACACACAAATTAAATTAAAGACTAATATACATAATTATTATCTACATTTTAATATCGCACGTTATATTTCACCGAAAGTTTAAATTGATGTGTGACCGAGAACACTCGCAAAGTGCTTGCAGTTTCCACCTTAACTTTCGAACATAGGCGATTTGACGAATTGTTGCTATTCATCCCTTCTTACACTCTTGAGACTTTCATCTCGACTACAACTACTACTTATAATTTTTCTTACTCTCTCTCTTTGCTTCGGAGAATAAAAAAAATATATGTATATATGTTTGCTATTTATAGATTATCACACCCGCTACGTGTATATGTACATATTATAGAACCATATTCACGTCTCATATTAATATAGCTTATAGGATTTTAAGTATCATTCGTTTAATACGAAAAGTATAATAACACCCAATCATGAGCTGAGAGTCACATTATCTCACCGAGAGTCAATTTCATCAATTAATTAAACCTCAATCGCCCAATTCAATATTTTCTCTATCTTCTTTTTTGAATCTTTGTATCTTAACAGAGAAAAAAGGATCGATAATCGTTGAGCTGCTACGCTAAAAAGTTGACGACGATTTTGAAGATGTACATGTACAATATATACAATATAAAGATCTTCGCATCTTGCATCAAAAGTTTACACCATCACTATCTAGCGATTTAAATCTTTACTAAGCTATTTACAGTGACGTTATCTCGAAAAGAGCATCACGTGTGTGTGTGTGTATATATATATATATATATATATATAGGAACGCGATCGGCTTAAAACTTATTGTCGCGCAGGAAGTTCGCCTCTGTTCGAAAGAACGGTTTCTTGGTCGGCGTATAATACATATAAGTACATATATTACGCTTTTCCAGATTCAAAGTACATACGGCGATTAATCCGCACGCAAAATCACGCGACACTGCAGCCTCGCGCGGACCGCGTTGTCTCGCACAGCGAAGGACAAAAATGCGCGATTTTGTTTATTTAACTTGAGGTAGACCCTGTAGAGAACTTTGTCGAATAATAAAAACACTTTCAAAACTACGTATACTATGTATGCTCGGTCAATTGTTGATATAATCACGTGACACATTTTCACGATGGCAATGTGAAATATACTTCGTATGTCCCGTGAATCTATTTATGTTTAAAATTGCAGTAAACTCTCGCGATTTACGTATACCTTGACAAGCTTGGCACTATCACTAGCTCTGATCCCTCACGTTCGTTAGATATAAATAATAGCATCAAAAAAATAAGCGAACATAGATAGCGCATCATACTTTTAAACAATTTACTCGATTTTAAACACTGACTTTAAAATCGAGATTTTAAAGTCAGTGTTTAAAGCTTAAAGAATAACTAAAAATAGATATAGAATTTCTTCATTCAAGTTGTCTTTTCAACTTATGTTAAATGTCAATTAAAATAGTTACAAGTCTTATGAAAAATATTTTTCTCCGTTTATATTCACATATTACGTGAAAGAAGAGAGTTTTTCGTTCGTTATTGATAAGTTTTAAGTCCTTCGTCCAAAATGCAAAGAAATTGATTTGAATCCAAATCAAAGGTATAAAGATAAGAAGAATCGAGGGAAAAGAGCATGCTTTCTTTTTACCTAAAAAGGTGAGATAGACTTTCGAAAATTAACCTGACTTTCGTTTATAAAGGAAAGCGTATCTATAAGGAAATCATTCCTTTAAACAACATTGTAAGAAATTCTACTTCTTGCGAACTATCTCTCGTTAATAAAAACCTCAATCGGACTTGGAACAACTAGCACGCCATCGGCATCGGCTTCATATTGGCGACTGCGCTCATTCTTCTAGTCGGTCCGGTGAATCGCTTCTCGATCTCTTCGAGCGACCTACCCCGTGTTTCTGGCACGCTGACAATAACGAAAAAGAAGCCCATTGCTACGATCAGGCCGAACATCCAGAAAGCACCATGCGCGCCGATCAGCGATATGATATCTTGGAAGGTCTTCGTAACGATGAAACATGAAGTCCAATTGAAGCCTGTCGCGATGCTCGCAGCCAAACCGCGAATCCTGGCGGGCAGAATCTCACCCATCATTAGCCAGGGAATTGGCCCGAAGCCTAGCGAGAAGCCGATCACGTACACGATTAAGCTGAACAGCGGCAGCCAGCCGATGAACGTCACGTCAATGCCCAACGATTTGACATAGAAGAAACCGCCGAGAGCGAAGAGCGTAATCGCCATTGACACGCTGCTTATGTACAGCAGCATCTTTCTGCCCAACCTATCAATCACGAATGCGGCGATAAAAGTGGATATGAAGTTGACGATGCCAATAATTATGGTCGAAATGTTCTCATCGATGGTGCTACCGGCATCCTAAAAAAAAACGAAAGGGAAAACCATAATTTAACAAACCATAATTTAATTTAATCAAAATTTCGTACGTAATCAATTTGAAAATCGTTGGCTATAAGATATTATCTATTAAATTGAGAAAGAATGAAACATACGTACTTGGAAGATTTGCACGGTATAAAATATCACTGCGTTGATACCGGATAACTGCTGGAACAACATTAAACCCAGAGAAATGAGAAGGGGCTTGAGATTGTTAGGTTTGAACAATTCTCTTATTGTGCCCTGAGTAGCGGTGCGTTCGCTTTCAATATGTGTCTTCTCGATCTCCATCAATTCTTCAGTAATGTCCGTCTCCTTGCTGCGCAGCCATTGGAGCGCCTTTCGCGCCCGCTTCGTTTTGTTCTTGGAAATGTACCACCTCGGCGTCTCCGGAATTACAATCATTAACAGCATAAACGGTATAGATAAGCTCGCTCCAAACAACGCTAGATGTCTCCAATTCAAATACGTGCCGGCCATGAAGCATAACAATATACCTGTGCGCATTGAATATAGAAAGACATGAAACATAAACCATATCGATGAAGAGGATACGTTAAGTGATGCAAACATTGAAAAAATATCTGCAGACATGTATTTTTGAGTCAATAATAAATTCTGTTTTACTTACCAGTGTTACCAAAAACAGTGGGCATTAAACCAAGAGTACCGCGCACTTCCGTTTGGATGGTTTCACCTAAGTACACGGGCAGTGTTAAGGAAGCAATTCCTACACCGAATCCACACAACACGCGTCCGACTAGTATCATTGGAACATTCTGAGCCAGTGTGATGAATAGCCATCCTGTAATGAAACATATTATAACTCAGTTTCCTGTTTAGATACTAAATATTTAACATAAAATTTTACATGTTTTGATATTCTTACCTGCGATGAACGGTATCGACGTGGCAAGTATCGTAGTTTTTCTCCCGAAATATTCGATGCATGGCCCACCAGCAACGCCACCGAAAAGTGCGCTCAGCGGCATAAGTGAGCCGATCCACATGCCCTGCAATATCAATTTGAAATGTGACAGTTTTTTAAATGCACGTAAAAGAGATTACAACACATTTTGCAAAATATACTATTGTATTTAAAATTGAATGATGACATTTGGAATTTATACGACATTTATTTGTGACATTTGAAATAACTAGTTTTAAAAAAAAGTCATTTTTTTGGCTGAAAAAAAAAGTTAAAATCGATTTCGTCGATCACGCGGCACAATCTTTCGATCGGTCAAACATTTGTCATTCGAATTACAATGGTATATACACCTCGGAGTACTCCTGACATAGTTTTGTGTGTTCATCAGAAATCCTTCGAATACAAATAAGGCCGGGAAGCCAGAGAATGTCAAGGAAAACAATCGTAAAGAATATATATATATATGTAAGCATCGGTCATTTTGGTTGCTCATTCGGGTGATTGTGCTGTGTATTTCAATTAAGTTACCGCGACGCAGATACGAACGAGTTACGAAATTTCTTTCTTACGCTTAATTAACTCACTAAAAATGTAGAATTGTTTCTCTAATAATTACTATTACAAAATATCTGCACAACATACAATCGCGATCTGAATAATAGATAAGAGATACTGTTTTGACTTTTTTTGGTTTTAATATTTTTCTAGTAGTAGTATCTTTAGTGTTTTGAAATAATAAAAATTATAAACAAAAGAATTAGAAAAGTAATCTCGTAACAACATGATACTACAAAGTAGTATAAACGCAAAATTATCTTGAAAAGTATTTTTCAAAAAACTGAAATATTATTAAATATAATATTATTTTTCTTCTTTTTTTTTCTCTTTTATGCGCTAATCTTCGATATATACATATGTTCCAGTATGTCTATCATATAAATTGTTTAAGATCCAAATACGCGTGTTTGTTTTCTTTTGCTGAGCGCGCGTGCACGGAAGTACGCGTTATTCACGCTTGTTCACATATCTAAAATCAATTTCTGACATCAATCATGGGATCATATCCATGACAAGTCAACGTGTCCTGCAAACAGCCAATCACCGTTGCGGCAAGTGAAGCGCAACGCTCTCCTCAACCAATACGATTGCAATCAGGTCATCGTGCCCCTGACCACGCGCCAATGACGCATGTAAGGTTAAACCTTTCAATCATTCGTTGACCCTTTGAATGACGAAGGTCATACCTTTCTATACAATCGCGGATCATGACAATTTGCAAGTGACGCATCACGTCGTTTGTCATCTGCGTTGCGTTCTACTTGAATTCATCTACGAATTGTTGCGAGTAAACAATTTCCTTGGGGACTTTTCCTTGACATCGTAAATTTTAATTAAATAAGGCACTATCAAATCGATACTTTAGCAATGCAATCGTGATGTCGATTTAAAAAGAAGATATAATGTGTACTCGCATTAGCTTTACGTAATAATAACGTCTCGATGAATTACATGTTTAATCTTAAATAAAGAGTTCACAGATAATAGAGAAAATATGAGATCACTACTAGTAGTCAAAATATGAGAAAACTAATATTATATATTTTGAAAGAAATATGCTATGTTTTTCTCACAAAAACAAAGTCGTAAACATGTTATTTGTAGATTAGCTACACAAACAAACATGCATAATTACGTGTAAATCTTATAATCTGTATGATTTTTTTTTCATGTTTCAAACAGAATTAGTCGAGATTGTATTATTTGAAAAATATGTAAAACTTTTTTATGTACTCTCTCGCGAAAAGTCGCGCTTATCGAATTATTGAATGATTATTGATATAAGAATTATTGAACGATTTGTAAATGTAATACCGAGACAAGAGAGTAAATCAGAATCAGATAGTTGAAGGTAGGTGCAGTTGTGGCTTACGGGCTATAAAAAGCAGCCCATACGCCAGAATCAGATAGTTAACGAAATGGTTAATAAATAAATAAGCGAGACACCTACCATTTGCTTGGTGACTTCGAAAGACGTCGTGGAATTATCACGCATGGACACTAGCGCCGGTGATGTGTAGGAGGACGCAAAACCGATCACTAGCGAGCACAGCGACACCGTTAACGCGGCCAATACCTATAAAGCACACAAATATATAATAAAATGTGACTACGAAAAGCTGCAATAGAAATTTCAACCTTCGAACAATCAATGATTATTTAAAAAACATTTAAAAATTGTAATACAAATTTAATGGATTATTAACTTAAATGGATAACACATAAATCGACAAGACAAACCGTATGGTACAAACAGAATGGTTTTAATTGAAAATTTATCACATAAAATACAAATAATTGTCAAATATATTTCTGTCATGCAATATAATGCTTATTGCGTTGAATTATTGTTTACAGTTAGATTCATATTAGGCTGAATCTATCTTAAGACGTCACGATCGATTCAATCGATGTTCGATCAGCTACGTCGTTCGATTTGCGTTATTGCGAAGTGTTCAAAAAGTAGTCAAAAAAATGATTTGCGATCTCACTTTATAAAATTGTATATCTTCATTCGCGCGATATACGATAGGTATATTATGTACATAATATAAAGTTCCGCAATGAGATCTAGTTTCAGCTGCGTTTGCAAATTTGCTAATAAAATTGCTCGTAACTTTTTGCACACATTTAAAACATTCTTTATTTTTCACATGTAAATTTTCGAAGAATACTTAAAAAGCTTTCCACCTGAGTAACTGTGCATTTCGCAGGTGGTACGCTTTCCGGCACCTCAATGTTCACATAGGTGTCCGCTCGTACGAGGAGCTTCATAATAGATAGCAACAGGGGTTGAGTTTTGCAAAAAGAAATCCGTTGATTTGAAAAAATTCAACCAAGTTTATAGCTCCTTTCAAATTTTCAAACAGATCTTTTTCTTCACACAAAGTTGTTTTGAAGATCACGACTTTGATACAACGGTTAACGATCGATAAGTTGAATTTAAATAGAGTACACACTGACGCGAGTGAAGGTTATACCCCGCGATGAAATACAAAACTATTGACACTCTCGTGGATCGCGCCGGATAGTTCTCGTTCTTATATAGGGAGCGATGCTGGGGGCCTCCCTCCTTCTCGCTACCAGCGCGACTATGTTCAATCCATCCTTCGTCAATTATTGTATTTTCCGTCGTATATATGTGTGATAATCGTACGTGTGTGTCGTCATGAAGGACGTAATATAAATAATATTAGTAAAATGATATTTAATTAAGAGTTCAGTTGTTTGATCTAATCGCGTGTTCCGTTCGCTTTTGCTATACAAAGTGATAGGCTATTCAGCGACGCGCTGCTTTTTCCATTATGAAAATCAAATCCGTCATCATGAGCGCAAACATGTTATGAACTATTGTTATTAGTGTTCTTGGAAATATAAATTTACTTGTCAATTCAAAATAATAACTGAAGAGAAAATAGGATCAAAACGTTTTTCAATTTATAAAATTTTCATATTATTTACTCATTCTCTTTCTAATTCGTCAATAACATCAAAACTGTTGATTAATTAGTTTTTTTTTTTGTTTTGTTTTTTTTATTGATCACGGTTCTTTTTTACTACCTCAATACCGAAAAGATTTATTGTTTTATAGTTTACAGTTATAGAATAATTTTTTATAATCTCGCGAAATGTGTATTGCAGAAAATTCGAGTACATCTCTAAGCGCTTTTATTTCTGCACGGAAAGTTCTCTTTTTTATTCTCGTTACGTGCATGAATTAGATACACGTCGTCATTTTATCTCGCGTAATTAATGACGTAATATTCGCATTGATCGCGGCTTATTAAGTTGTTTTAATAATAAGAAAGAACCCGTTGAATGTGCGATAACAGCCACACATGCTTTTTTATTGATGTCTGACGCGAATACGATTGTTCGTGTTTCGTATAACAAAAGATAAATTTTTTGCATAAATTTTCACCATTCTTGCTTCGCAGTACAATTGTTTTTTTGAGTTAAATTTAGTCATCTAAATGAGAGAGATAGAGAGTAAACGCTGTAATTAATAGAAATATAAAATTATATAAAAAGATGTGAGCGTGAAGAAAAGTTACAAAACTTGTATACATGTTAGTAGTTTATTTTTCGTATTTTAGAATAGCTGACGATTGAATTCTCAGGCAGCTGAATAGTTGAAATTAGCTATAACAAGAATTCTGATCATTAAAGAAGTAATTATCTTCTCGTTGCACATATATTTTCGAATTATAATTACGGTTATAGCGAGTTATGATATTGCATCGCGTGTATAATTACGCGTCTTCTTTTAACGTTGAAAATTGATTCATCTGTCTTTAGTTACGCATGCACGGTAGCAGGTGGAAATTTACGTTCGCGCATAATGTAGTTAGAAAAATTCCTTGCGCCAGCGCACTTCAAGTGAAGCCATCGTCGATAGCAGAAGAAACCGAAGCGTTACGCAAGACCGCAGTATTCGTTATAGGGCCGCATCTGCTCTTCAGTTTTTACTTCTCTTGTTATCGTACAATTGTTCTTTGCTGCAATCGGTCCGATCGCGTAACATGCGAAAATTGACACGACATCTGGCGGACTACACGCGTGGTCGTACTACTATTGTAGGATCGCGTAACACGTGTCCTTAAATGATACATTCACGTGACTTTATTCTTTAATTACGCGGCTTTCATTCTTTATTTTAAAACTTATACGTCACTTTTATTTTATTGATTTATTATATTTTTGCGTTTGTTATATTCTATTTATTTTTGTTTAGTTTTAATATCTTCAGAAAAGGAAAATAGGTAAAATAAGCCAATTTTGGCCTCCAGAGTGGCAGGTGAAAATGTTCTTTTTTTTTTTTTTTTTTGTAGTTTTGAGCTGCTTTTGTTTTAAATCTGATTCTGAGCTTTAAAAATCTTTAATCTGTAGATTAAAGATTTAAGAAAAGTATTAAAATCAGAATCTGGCGCTCGTACGGCGCGACAGACTGTGCTGTCCTTACGCTGGATGCACGCTGATTAGCGGATCTTTATTAATTCATATCTCGTTAATTATTGCGAATCTTCTAAAGTGGTATAGGACTTTTCGTCTTAGAATAACCCCTTTTTTTTGTCTACGAGCGGTGAGACGGCAATTATGGGACACCCTGTATATACACGCATATTTCCGCACAACATATAGCAAACGGCTCTCATGACCATCTATATATTTGTAGTATTTTATTACAATATATAGATGGTCATGAGAGATAATTTTATAATATATATATTTTATATATATATATATTTTTTTTTTATTACTAACTGTAAGATTCATGCAAAAAATATTTTTAAGCGCCAAGATACACTTTGAGAATTAAATAAGGCCGTCTTCATTTATTAATTTATGTTGTTTACAAATCGCTCAATGTTCAATAAATATTGTTTCTTTCATTATAGTTTTACATTTTTTTCTCATTTAACATTTATCTCCGTAATATCTTTTCTTATATATATGTGTAATAGCTTCGTATTTTGATGTTTTAATAAAATCATATTTTGGACTTTTTCGATTTTGACAAATTATAGATTTTTAAAGATCAGAATCAGCAGCTCTAAAAATCTACAAAAAAGCATATTGTTTTTACTTACCACTCTGGGAGCAAAAATCAGTCATTACACTGCAAATCCATGTGTGTTACTTTAACACATTTTTTCTGTGTAATTGTAAGATTACACGCTTATCTGTGTTATTTAAACACACATAAATGTGTAATATGATAATTTTATGCAGATCGCATGTGTGTTAAAATGCGTAAACATCTAAAATGTGTAATAAAAT